TTTCAAATTACTGTGTTCATCAGATGATCGCCCATCACACGAAAATCAGGAGATTTTTTTTAAATTCTTACTTTTTTACAAATTTCTACTTAAATAATGACAATTCCAAAGATTCCCCTTCACATTCCAATTCTTTAGTAAAACATCCATTAGTATTCTAAATTTTTTGATTACTGAACCAGGCAATAATAAAAATTTTTAACTTTCTTTTTGTGAATTTTAACGATTTCCATTGTATTCTAATTTTTTTTATAATAAACTGCATGTTAGACTTTTAGTTTGTTAACCAAGCAATAATAAAATTTTCAGTTTTTTTTACTAGTTGAACAGGCAATAATGAAATTTATTATTATTTTTTTTTATAAATTTATATAATAAAATTAACACTATTATATAATTTAGAATGCCACGTCCTTTTAGCGAAGACCTCAAGTGGCGCATAGTTTACTTGTGCTACGATGGTTACTCAAAAAAAGAAATTGCATCCACTCTATATCTAAGCGTAACATTGGTAAATAAAGTTCTAAGAATCTACCAAAAATGGGGAACGGTTGTTCATCCATGGCGCCAAATTCCCGGACCCCGAAAAACTTTTGATCGAAACGATATGAACGTATGCATATCTTTATTTTGTTTTATAATAATCACAGTATATATTTATTATTAACAATTTTTAATATTTATATAATTTAGATTTTGCAGCAAATTGTTAGGGAGAAAGTCGATTGGTACCTGGATGAGCTTGTTTATGAGATAGAACGATATACTGGAAAGTCTGTATCGATCCCAACACTATGGAGATATTTGGCATACTGCGGCATTACACGAAAAAAAGTTTTTTTTTTTTCTTTTTAGGTTTTAATATTTAAGTTATACTGTATAATTTATATATTTTTATTGAATAGCTTCAAAAAGATGCCAAGGAACGAAATGAGTTTGTGCGAAGTGCTTTTATGGCACGTATTGGTGCCCAATATCAGCCTGAACAACTAATTTTTTTGGATGAATCCTCTAGAGATGAACGTACCATAACGAGGGGTTATGGATATTCTGAAGTAGATACTAGAGCAAGAAAAAAGGTGTTATTTGTACGTGGAGTAAGGTACACAGTTTGTCCAGCCTTAACTCTACAAGGAATAATTGCCGCAGATATTGTAGAGGGCAATTATACAAAAATTAAATTTAAAGATTTTGTTATAAATCAAGTCGTACGTATGCATTATCCTAATTGTACATATTCAAAGATTTTTTTTTGTAATTATTTACTAACTATTTTTGTAAATATAACTTAGTTACCACAAATGAATTCGTATCCGCATAACAATAGCGTTTTAGTTATGGATAATGCGCGAATACATCACGACGATGGATTGTGTGAATATTTGGATGCATTTGGAGTGCGCATAGAGTTTCTTCCACCTTACTCACCTGACCTTAACCCAATCGAGTTAGCATTTTCTTCAATTAAAAGTTACTTGAAACGGTATCGTTATTTTGTTGAAAATTCTGATCCAAAATATTCACTATTAGTTGCGTGTGCACAAATTACGCCGGAAATAGCAAAAAGTTTTTATGAGGCTTCGGGTTATAAGTAATATAATACTCGTTATAAAGAAGACTCACCTTTTTTTTTTTACTTTTTTTTGTTAGTGACTAAGATAGGTTTAGATGCTATTTTTTTTTCTTATTTTACTGTATTTGCCCTGTTAGACTGTCAATAATTCATAATCTGATTGGTATTATAAATTTTCGCATAATATATTTCTGCAAAGTTTGCTCAAGTATTTTTCGATAAGACAAATTTTATCAAGCTTTTAAATAATGAATTAAAGGAAGAAATTTTAAAAAAATTTTTTAAGGCTTAGAAATTTTCGTTAGACTATTACTGTAAGTAGAAGGTTTTACTGTAAGCAATTTCAGACTTATTAAGACAGATTATTAGATAACTTCCTGAAATAAATTTTACTAAAATACCATTTTGCTGAAATTATATACTAACAAGATATAATTCCGAAAGTCTCATTTACCTTTTTTTCATCCTTCTTGGTAAACATATAAATAATTTCACAGATCTTTACGATCTAATAAATAATAAATTTTACTATGTAGTAAGTTATTTATCTGCAATTTCCATTTCACTAAATATGAATATCTATTTTACTTACCGGTACATGCTATTTTTCGAATAGTATATTTTTCTAACATTTTATTTCTTTGAAAATATATTGCTGAAAGCTCTTTTACCGAAGGATGTTTTACCGAATTTGCAGCTATTTTTATAAAAAATGCCGGGTTACTTGATAACCTGAAAAGAGGTATAAACTAATTTGTTGCCAACTATTTCACTAACAGCTATTTAATCGGCAAAGTTGGCCTTGTTTTTCAAGAAAATATTTATTAGTGAAAAGGCTTCAGAAAAATTTTGACTGGGAACAGAGTTCGAAGAATTGTGCTGAGGAAAAAAAATTTGGTAAAAATTTCTATTAGCAAATATACTGACAGAAATGTCTTGTCGAAAAAAGGGATATCGAAATTATGGGTCAGAAAATTAGTACGTATTTCAGGAAGGTACATAGGTTTCAGGAAAGTTAGGTGATCAACAATTAAGACTTGGTTTCACAATAAGATACAATATGTAATACATTAAAAAAAGATTTGAAATAAAAATAAGCGAAGAGAATGTTACAATATAATATATATATATATAGCTAGACAAAGCTACTTATGTGCATAACTTGTATTTATTTTTCTACTTTATATTGTTCGCATGCTAATTTTCTTTATTATATACATACTAATAATTGTTACTTAACATATTTATTGTATAAATCATTTTGAAATACGTATATATTGAAATGTTCAAAAAACTATTTCTCCGCCATTATAACCAAAAATTATAATTTTTGATACTTTTCAACATATTCACGAAGAGTTTGTCGTTCGCCAATAGTCTCTACTCCACATAGTGCAAATTCCTCATCTGTTAGTCTTTTTAATCGTTTTACTAAAATTCGTTGTGCATTAAATTTTTCCAAAAAACTTTGATAATGATCGCCAGTTTCTTCTCCTTCGTCTACTTCTTTTAGAAATTCTGCCATAGTAGGTAAAGTAAAAGAGACATATGGGTTAGATTGAATAGTATGAGACTGTGTCGAAATATGAGGCAATGTTTGATACGGATTATATAAAGTTGGTTGATGCGATTGAAATTGTTGAGCTCCAAAAGCCCAATTGTATTGTGGCGCTGATAGTGATGGTAGAAATGATTGTTGTAATGAAAATGGTGATAAAATTAGTTGGGGATGTCCTTGTGGTAATGGTTGTAATAGTTGTACTTGTGATAGTGGTGGCGATTGTTGTAATAGTTGCATTTGTGGTGATTGTTGTACTTGCGATAGTGGAAGTGATTGTTGTGGTAGTCGTATTTGCGGTGGTTGCATAAGTTGTGCTTGTGGTGATTTTTGTACTTGCGATAGTGATTGTTGTAGTAGTTGTACTTGCGATGGTGGTTGCATAAGTTGTGCTTGTGGCGATTGTTGTACTTGATATGGCAATTGTTGTGATAGTTGTACTTGAGGTTGTACTTGAGGTAGCGATTGTTGTAGTTGCATAAGTTGTGCTTGTGGTGATTGTGACAATTGTACATCCGGTGACAGTGGTTGCACTTGCGGTGATAGCGAAGGTGGTAAAACCAGTGGCATTTGTGGTGATGATGTAGATGGTAATTTTGAGCATAGCTTTTTTGATGATAAACTAGCATAGGAAAAAAGAGGATGTGTTGGAGGATTTTCGACTGTAGCTAGCCCTTTGTTCTAAAAGTATGCCGGTATATAAATAAAGTTTAATCAATATAATTTATTATATATTATGTAAATATCGATATAGTAATACCATCTCAGATGCCCAGGTCGAAAGCATCATAAATGTAATCTCAACATGCAAATCTTTGTGATTTTCTTTATTAAGGCAGGGACGATTATGCACATTACAGTGATATGCATTTCTAATTGTTAACACGTTTTTGGCAATTTCTTTGTCTTGTGCAGATAAAGATGAAACACTTGGGACTCGATTATTGTTCTTGTAATTGTTGGATCGTTCAGTATTTTCTTCGTGTTCACCTAAGTCTGATTCCTGCAAAATTGTATTATAATTTATGATATAATCGATACGTACCAAATTATTGAACAAATTTATGTAAATAGTAGTATTCACATACAGAATAATACAAATAAACATGCATATTTGTGTACATATGTACGTATGCACGTATGTATTTACCTTTTTTTTTTGCTTATTTTGAGAAGTGATAGATGGTTGTGAAATTGTAACATAAATCCCAATATCACTTTTTCTAGCAGCTAATTTTGTATATTCGGATTTGAACTTGATGAAATCTTGTTCATCGACCAACTGAGTGCCGGCACCTGTCTCTCTTTGTGTTTTGAATGTCACGAAGTAATCACTTGGCATAATAGTATTATCCTTGGTCATCAAGTGAATTTTATTGTGAACGGATGAAAGAAATTCATCAACTGTTGATACGGATTCTTGGAACCATTTAGCAGGTAATGAAATTCCATCAGCTGTTTTAACAAATAATTTGTAAGCTAATGCAAACTCGGATTCATCATCTTCTTCACTACTCATTTCATTTTCGTTGATTCTATCTTCACTTGCTGCAACGGATATTGAAGGAGAAGGTGACCTAGTTGTTTTCTATAAACAAAAGATTAATAAATTAGATAATTATAATAAAAGATTATATTACACGTACATTGCTATCAATTTTATTCTTTGTCACTTTTTTTTTAGCCTTGGAATTCAATTTCACCAAAACATTGTGGCATCGTCCACAAAGAGAAAACCGAAAAGTTTTTTTCACGTTTATTTGGTAATTATATTCCATAACTTTTCCATAAATATATTCATACATGGGTGCTACCCAGGTAGGTTCAAAGATGCGTGTATATGCTTGTTTCATTAAATCTGTTCGATTTTTTTTTGTGGGCACTAAGGATAATTTACATTTACAAGTAGTATTTCTCAAATCAACTGCGCAATATAGACACTTTCGACACCCAAAACAGGTGCCACGGTAATATCTAAGTTTGGTGTTGGCTGCATCTGCCATTATAAGTATTGTTTGATCGATTAGGAAAAAGAAAAATTTTTTTTACTGCTTTGGGAATTTTTTTTTTTTATACTTGCTTTTGATACTATATTAGTCATATAACTGATAAATTAATTTATCAATTTCTTTATTTATTAGTTAAAAAATTAGCGCATACATGTGTAATATACAGTGGTGTTTAAAATTTAAATTAGAATTCCAGATTCCCAGATTCCCGTGTGATGTGTGATGCATGAAATTTGATGAACACAGTAATTTGAAAAGCGCAGTAATTTCACGTAATGATGGCTTATAAATTTTAATTAATTCTTTAATAAAGTATATAAATTTTACATATTGATCAAATTTCTTCATGGCGAGTAAATATTGCTCGTCTCTCATTTTGGAAAGAGACCTCTTACTATGAAAAATAATGCTTCCAGTTCTGCTCTCGAACAAATTACCAATTTTTAAACTAAATATTAGACTCGTCATTAAACGACGGATTAGATTTAACAAATTTCAATGCACAATCTATTTTCATTTTTTTTAAAGATGCTATTAATCTTAAAAAACACATAATATCATAATATTTTATGTAATTAAGATCTATTATAGATATTTTTCTGTTTTCTCTTGAGATACATTTAACAAAAAATAGCCAATTACGTTGAATTCGAGAGAACATTAAATCAAAAACTTTTACACACAAATAATCGAAGCCGAGTGCTAATATATTTAGATTTTGTTATCACATATATTTTCATTGTGAAATTTATTGTATTTTCAACCGTTTTTTTTAATATTGCATTTATTTTAACTTGCGCAATATCTCATAAGCTTTTTAAATTCACTCTATGGCTAATAATTCCAATTCACCTGTACAAAATTATATTACATCTATAAAACTATATTAATATTTATTTAATTTTTTAGCTCAATTATGAAAAATAGAAATATGTTTTGATATTCAGTAGTAAAGTATTCGTGAGATAGAAAGCCTTCATTAGTACTAATAATCGTTTTAGTGCTAGGTTTTTGTGTAGTTTATTGGGTTATTAAAAGTTTGAAAAAAATAAAATGAATCTACATAAATGTTTAAAACAATACGAACGATATAATTAAAAGAAAACAAAAGGAATCACAAATAATATTTTATTCTTTCATTTTTATTATTACATTTATTTATTATATACAATTTAATCAGAAGCGTGAATTATATAGATTCTGATCGAGAAATACAGTGATAAGATTCACTTAATCAACCGTATTACTATATGGGGGGGCGTCAATAGAAACCAAGCAAATCAAAATTTTTTTTCAAAATTTAGTTTTTACGCTTAACTAATGTAAAACTTTGTAAAGAATATTTTTTACTTAATAATGACCCTTTGATTAATTAATAAAATTTTGAGATATTTACGGTTAAACAATTTGGTCGGAAATTGATCATCCGATCATAATTGATCGGAAATAAATCATCCGATCTTGAAATACTGTCATATTTGCACATGACTTAAATAATTTCTTTAACAAGTGGTCAATAGTAACCAAGCAAATTTGTCTAATAAATTTGCTTGGTTTCTATTGAACCGTATATGCTAAACAGTGCTTTCCGATCAAGGCCACATGAGTGGCCGAGTGGGTTCGGATTGTCGATCATTGTTTATGTGTTTGTGTAACACAACACAAAAATCACGTTATCTCAAAAACACTGATTTACCGATTTGCTTGGTTGCCCCCCCATATGTTAATAAAAGTCTAGTTTCTCTAAAGCAGTTTTGGTCCTAGATAACCAGGGATGCATTGATTCGAGATAAAGAGATTCAATTCCTGTATAGACTAAAAATTTACCATCTTTAATGGGACGAGTCTAGTGTTATCAACCTTTCGCTGTAATACTTCACTATTAGGTTAAGACTGTTTTCGCTACTAAATTGGGATTTGTAATAAAAGTTTGAAATGCGCAAAAGGTAATTGTTTGCGTTACTCTTGATTATTGGAATTAATTGGCCAACAAGATTTTATGCAGCTCACGGGGAGCGCCAAACTTACATAAGTACATAATTGCTGAAATAGTGTAACAAATAGTAGACTAACTATTTTCAATGGCAAAGTTTTTCGAAAAGCTTTCAAATGATTGCCTTGAACTTCTTGATGATAAGGAAGATTTTAATGTAGTCATTAATGTTGGAGAATCACCAAATACTAAGATATTCCAAGCACACTCTAATATTTTGAGATATAGATCTTTGTATTTCCGTAATGAATTAGAGAAAATTAGAAAAGATAAAAATAACATTAAAACAATTAATTTAAAACATGTTTCTATTCAGCAATTTGAAGTAATTATTAAGTAAGTTATGTATTTTATGGATTAGTAAAATTAGTCCTTTGTTAAAAATACCCAAACTTATGCATTATAGTAAGTTTTCGTATTTAAAATTTATGATTTAAATAAGGATTAATCTTACGAATTTATTAAGGCGATGGCTATATAGTTTCTATAAAATGAATTACTAAAACTAATTTTAAATTATTAAATTTGCAAACTTAATAAAGGTATATTTATGGAGGAGTGGTTTTGTTAGAAAAAGATCAAGGTGCACCATTTATTTTTGAACTCGCCCTTGCTGCTTACGAGTTTCTTCTTGATGAATTAGCAAAACACCTTGAAACTCAATTAATTAAAGAAAATGCACACTGGCTTCGTTTAAATTTTGCTCGCATTTATCATAAAATTTTCCAAAATGAAAGATTTCAAGA